GTTTGTCATTTCTCCGATCACAAATGCAGACATGGTTTTATGTTTACGCGGCGCGATGCGTCATTATAATCCGTAATTATGTCCCCACTGGATGCGACAAATGCCTCGTTTGTCATGGGTTTTATTGGTTTTGTCTCGTTGTGCTGGGACACGGCATCACAGCATGGTAAGGGGCCTAACATTTCCGTTACATGCTTGAGGTATTCGGCCAATCACAACGCACTGGATAGCTGGCCAATCAAAGCACACCTCGCTTTTCAGACCTATGAGCTTTGTAAAAATCGACGCGTTTCAGGAAGGCGGGGCATAGAGGAGAAACAATAATGTACATTATGTGAAAAATAACGTGTTTTTGGAACCTTAAACCGCATAAACATTTCATTACACCAAATACACAAAATAATGTTCTTTTTAGCAACGTCATATGACCCCTTTAATTTAGAAACACAATTTTCCCCACAATGCCATTAATGTAATGTTAAGAAATTGTATTTAGGAATCTTGTTTTGAGCTTTCTCTCTTTCTGGCTTTGTTTATGTTTTCCTTTCTCCATGTGACAGCTGCCTGCAGCTGATTGTTTTTGGTAATCAGTGCAGCCGCTTGCTGTTTTCTCGCATGTTCTCACTCCTCTCTTTACTCGCTCTTTATCTATGCTTGTTTTGCACTTCTCCAGAGTGTTTTGTGCTATTGCTTACGCTAATTCTCTGCCCAGTCTCTAATGATTTGTTGTCACGCTATCTCCCTGCCCAGTTCGCTCTAGAAATTTTTACTTCGAGTGAGATATCATGAACAGTAATAACAAGCTATTAAGCTTGTTATAAAGCTATTAAAACTAACTGATTTTAAGATGGTTATGAAATAAGGTCTGTTTGTTTAGGTCTTTTATGTTATGTTACATTCTAAAAGAAAAGAAAAAAAAGATTAGCGAACCGGCAGTCAATTTATTATATAACAAGTTTTTTTTTTTTACAAACAAAAGATGTTTATTCAGCATACTGAGGCATTCCATTCAGATAGAATCTCTTCTGTCAGGATCCAACCTTCCATCCTCTCTTATCTCTCTGTAGGGTCAATGGGATGCTGGAGCCTATCCCAGCATCTTGGGTCACAGACAGGGAATACCCTGGTTTGACACACAGACACAAACACTCAGGCAATTTAGTGTCTCCAATTCACCAGTGCTGCATGTCTTTTTATTAGGGGGAAAACGGAGCACATGGAGGAAGCCTACACAGGAAAAACATGCAAACTCCACACAAAAAGACCTCCTCCTGGCTCAGCCACAACTTGAAGAAGGGGACCTTCTTGTGAGGCACCATTCTGTTAGGATCCTGCTGCATTTTTATCTAAATTCCTTGGGGAGGGTCTATACCATGGGTTGGGTTCTCTCAGGAATTTCCCATGAGTCCCTGGCTATATATATTCATAATGCCCCAGCTATTTCTAGCTATGCAAGTACAGCTCCTATCTGTATGACTAGGAAAAAAGGGAACTAAATATGTAGTATAAAAAGTGCATTGATAGCCTACTGCATTGATAGCATTGATAGCCTACTGATATGACAATAATTGTACATTTGTATCGCCTTAACGTTAGCTGCGTACAACAAAAACAATCTACCACGAGTTGAGGAAAATATAAAAAGACAAACTAAAGAAAAGAGAAATATAAAATGAATAACATTAAATGATAAAAAGATTTAGGGATAAAAAAAAGAAAAGAAAAAGGAAAATGGCTAAGAAAAATAAAGAAAATAATAGGCCTACGTGTAATACTGATAATGAGCAAAATACCCTCATATTCTTTTTGTGGTAAACCAGAAAAAAATGAAGCTCTATCTACATTTTATTTTGGATGCAATCATGGACACAACATTTCTTTCTTTCCTTTTTTTTGCCATGTTTTTTTGTGTCCATTAAGTCCTTTTCTTGTCATTATTGTTCCCAACTTTCTATCTCTTGTAGGACCAAATAACATTGCATAACACTGTGTTTAATTTAACTAGATGAATCTAATACAATCTGTGTCTATAATTAAGTTTTTTTTTTTGCCTCTGTAACTTGTGAGAGGACGAACGTTTAACTTGTTTGTGACACATGAACGTAACGTCGCTCTCACATGGTAACTGTTACTTTTCTCTGCGCGGTTGACTGTTGACCAATAACAATCATTTGTGGTTAAAGGATAAAAAAGATTCTCGTCTTTTGCAGTGGCTGCTATAAAACAGTTTTGCAATTGTTATATGCATTTAAACGACAGCGTTGTTATGCACAGACTCGTCCAGTCATCCATGGCGCAATTAGTTTTAACAGATGCTTATTGAGCGATTACAATCCGTTAGGCTCATCATTGTTTTGAGTCCAACCTCCGGTTTTTACGTCTACAAGCGAATTCATCACCACACTACGCGGTTTTCGTTGCGTTATTTATGTACTCTCAATAAAGCCCTACGTAGAAAAACTACGACATTAAACGGGGCGGGCCCAATTGGCTAGTTGTAGGCGACATTTTACTAAACCGAGAACGCACGAAGATGTTGATTTTCTAGCACAAAGCTGGCGTATTTTTCGCGGGTTTGTTCGTAAAAGTCATGATGTAAGGATTTGCACGCAGAATCTGCACCCTAACTTTGTCTAAAACACCCTCATTCAACATATTACATCTTCACCGATTTCAGAAATAGACATTTCCACAAACCAGGAGGGACCAGCGTTACTTCGTTTCGTTCAGGAGGTTTATTCTGCTAGGTTTTTACTTTACAGCAAGGCAAAAGGAGATGAGAGGAAGTTCCTCATATGGAGACCGAGACAGAGATCGAGGACGGGACAGGGGGTGGGCCTTTATATTTAATTGATGTTTGTTTATTAATGTGTATAAAAACATTTATTAAAATCAGTTTATATGGAGATGAGATATTAGGCAATTAATTATTTGGTCCCAGAAACAGATTTAGCTACTTGTCTGTACACTCCTGGCAAACAATGTTTATCACTGGCAGCATTCAAAGTTAAAAATCTTTAACAGGCCTCGCTTTGGATCCAGTCGAGTTGCCCCACCTCCACCCAAGAAGTTTGGGAATCCAGGAGATCGGCTGAGGAAGAAGAAATGGGACATGGACCAGCTACCCAAGTTTGAGAAGAACTTCTACAGTGAACACCCAGAGGTTCATCAGATGACCTTTTCAGCCATTGCACGAGAAGTTTGCTGTTCCAAATCTGTAATTTCTCGAATATTGCATCTTTACAATGACACTAATTCATTCAAGTTCCCCAAAAAAGGTTGTTCATCCACATAAGACAAATGCAAGAGAAGGCAGGATAATGCGGATTCTCTCAATGGGAAATCGGTTCAACACTGCAGCTGAAAATGCTTGCCAGTTCAGCGATGAACAGGGTAAGGATCTGTCTCGGCACGTTTAAAGGGATAGTTCACCCAAAAATGAAAATTACCCCATGATTTACTTACCCTCAAGCCATCCTAGATGTATATGACTTTCTTCTTTTAGACGAATACAATCGGAGTTATATAAAAAAATATCCTGGCTCTTCCAAGCTTTATAATGTGAGTGGATGGTAGCCCAAAATTTGAAGTCCAAAAAATTTAACCAATCCATTATAAAAGAAGTACACACGGCTCCGGGGGTTAATAAAGGCCTCCCGAAGCGAAGCGATGCGTTTGTGTAAGAAAAATATCCATATTTACAACTTTATAAACCTTAATGTCTTAACTTCCGCTAACTGTCATACGCGCTTTCACAAGAGAGTGGCGTTCAGCGGATGATGTAGGCGTTGTGTAACTCCGGTGAGAATATGCTAGTCTCGCGAGAAACAAGTTTTGTTTACAGCAAAGGAAAACCAGTGTCCTCTTGGCTTATATTGAAATCCTCCGACATTTTTCTTTACAAATCCTTGTTTTGTACTGCTAATTCGTG